ATCGAATCGTGTTTGGAATGTAAAAGTCTATCATACGTTCTCATAAAATCAACGTGCTAAACTCGACCTCCTCGTAAAGATCCACGAACTTCCTCACTGATTATCCCTCACGACCAACAAGGGCATAACTGAATCAATTAACCACTGACAGTAAATTTCCAATCGGTGATAAATGATAATTTGTTGATAGTAAATTTGTTTAATGGTGCTGAAAGTATAGTATTATGCAGAAATATTGTGATTTTGTTAAATTAAAGAGTGAACGATTCAAAAAATGTACAGTAAACGTTTATTGACAATAAAAATTATCACTGTGAACAAATTGCAAGCAGTATATCAGCTGAACTGAGTGAACACGAGAACATAAATTCTTTGACGTATCATCAAACACAATTTCAATCCAAATTTATCCAGAATGAATTTCGAGATGTTTTTTTCTTGTAATTTTTTTGGAAAGATTGGTATCATCATGATATTATCAAATTGTAATCTAAAGATGAATTGCCTTACAATAGTGAGACTGTGCAATCACGAGAATCGCAATCGATGTTGCTGAATCACGATATTAAATGTATTATGTTTATCTCGTCATACTCCGGGTTAAATATTGGCAGAATAGACAAAAAGTAAGGTGTTAACGTAAAATTGCGAAGAACACAAAAGCTTGGACTGGAGTAATTTGGGCTCATCTGGGCTCGTAATCGCAGTTAGCCTTACGCTCGTACTTATACGCTATTCAACAATATCACTTCTCCGCTCAACAATTTCCAATATTATTCCAACCGGATTTCCGAGACTTTTCAAAGGGTGAGATTGAGAAGGAACTTGAGGTCACTCGTTGAGATGAGATATGCGAAAAGTGATTCAATTGAGCGAAAAGGGTGGGTTGATTCAAATATCTCGGATGCATTGTTGCAAATTACGGAGCGGAGATTCACTTGTCAATTTTAAGCATTCTTCATGTGATGACGAGCAATACATTGAAAACAAACGAATAGATTTCATTTTTGAACTGTAAATCTGAGATCCAAGACAACAAATTAGAGTATCGTTGAATTAATATGGCATACTGTATATTTTTGTGTGAATGGTGATGACAACAACAAATAACTTTTTATGATAACGATAACAATAACATTTATCCGTTATCATCAAAATTATTATCTTCAGTTCCATTCCCCTTCTCCGCTTCTCCTTTTCGTTCGTTCGTCTCTCTCAGTGATATATCAGGTGAAGGCAACGATCCGATGGTTACGGTCTTGAAAATTTTTGATTATTTTTCATGACCTTTATTAGCACCATCAAGCCACTTTGTGGAATAAAGATACATTGCACATTCAAGCAAGACTAACACGAAATTTGATGCAATACTAGTGCCAATAAATGAAAATAAATTGGAATCTCATTCAAGATAACCTTCGAATCCGAATTAGAGTCGGCAAGAGGAACAGGAATATGCGATTGTCTGCAAGACGTTGAAGAGCGTCTCAATTCAGGCGTCAGTGAAGCGGACAGTTCTCGCACTCTCGACGCTAACTGCTCATACTCCCGAGCCCTTAATATTCACCAATGCCATTATAAGTTATGACCAATAAACAACAATAATACCTTTCATTCTGAAGGGTTGTCTCACGCTCGAACTGCACTAACAACCGTCGGTATTGTTCATCGCTTGTCTCACAGCGTTCTTTGTACATCCGAATTTCATTGTCTTTTGCAGATATCTATTACCATCGTTGTTTATTATCATTATCATTTCATTTATGATCACTATAGATTGCGTATAATCACTATAATTCAATGCATGATGTTTTATAATATATTGGTTTATATATTATAAGTGTTGTTAACATGAAGTGTTCTATATTTGTGTGAGAGCGATTAATGGGCCATTGATCATAATAGTGTGACCATTAAAGGATTATAGATCCGCATTTATCTTCCATTCATTCATCCGTATAACCAAACAGCAAGACAGCCTCTCAGAATAACACCTTGGTTTTATTTTTTGTTGTTATTTATCACTATATTTAATTGTTCAGTCGCTATTACTATTTATTATGAATAATATTTTTATTCCTTACGAAATTGTCATTTTTTTATTGTTGCTTGTGTTTATTATTATTTACATAATATGTATTTTGCAGGTCGTCCAAAAATCTGATCAATTTCTTTCGATATAAAATAAATTATTATCGATGAGACCCATCGAGAGATTATTTTACAACTATGGTCGTTTTATAGCGCAGTGTCCGTGGCCGTTTTTTGTGAGTTGCGTTTTATAGTGTGCATAAAGTACTTTTATTATATACGCAGGCAGTTTTTCGGTATTATTCATTCGAAAGTTGCAACTGCGATGTGTTCAGTAGTGATGAGGTTAGTGATAATAATGACAGTATAACTGATAACAAATGCTCATACCTAATAGAAATGATAACAATAATGATAAATAATAACAATGATATTGAATAATAATAATGAATAGTAATATTGAATAATAATAAATAATAACAGTAATAATATTAAATAATAAAGATAATTCCCATAATCACAACGATCATATCGACCGTTGGTATACTAAGGTTCCATTCTGAAAATAATATTTGGGATTTATATTCACCGACGAATGGCAGAAGTCGAATAGAGGAAAGGGCCATCAGACCCTTTGAATACGCCAGTGGTGCACATCATTACAGAGTCTGTTTTTGTTAATTAATTAGCGAAATTAATAGTGATATTTGTAATAATAACAGTAATGATAATAACAATAATAATAAATATTGAAGATTCAAATTCTGGTAACTCGAAAAGACAACGGCAGCATAATGAATATGGAAAATATAAATGAAATAATGTACATCAATAAATATATCAATGAAAATATTACAATTAGTGGTAATGATATGAATATCATAAATAAGATTAATAATAATAAAAATGATTATGACAACATAAATAAAACCAATAGTAATATTAATTATAATATAAATACGATGAATTATTACCACTATTATCAGATTTGTGGAATATATTGTAATGATGGCAATGCTATCATATTAGCTTTTATTCAGGTACGTTGACATTTTCGTGTTATTCTCGTGTTATATCCATTACTGTATATAGTATTTTATAATATGAATTATATTATCAGCAAATTTATCAATTTTCATTTACTTAATCAGCAAATCCAACTCGTTATGAGTTTATGCCTGTTTGTTATCACCAATATCACTAATATCACATTCTTCCTTGCCATCCTATCATAAAAATAAGGATTACCTTAAGGCGATTATGCAAAGCAACAGCTCCACTTCATCTCTGCTGCTCACATATCCAAATGCTCAAGCGTTACAGAAGCGTATTTTTGTGGGGTTAGTAATTATATTTATTATTGTTTTGTTACCATGTATAATAATAAATAACTATTTATACGTGATTAATCAAATGCATATATAATTTATTCCATTTTTATAGTTATTCGATAGGAGATATGGAAATGTCTAGAGGAGATAAAACTATGCAAACAAGCGTTGTGAAGTCTTTCAAGCTATTCATTTTACATTATATGGTCAGTTAATGATTATAATTGTTACTTTTTACTGCTGTTGATAATAATAGTTATTTGATGTTGTAGATTAATATTACAGATAAACTTGCGCCTTCCAAACGGTCGGCGAATCGCCTTCAATTTTGAGCAGAAGCTGCGTCAATTCTTTAACTCAGCTACACTAAAATCGAAAGTCAGCCACTTTCACATATTTCTCTCAATATAATATAATAATGATAATAATAGTAATAATGAAAATAATAGTGAAAATAATTGAGGATCTAAAATATGCGTTGCTAAGTCGAGATCTAGAGTTAGAAGAGCAGCGCAAAATCACAATTGTATCACTGCCTTACCTCGCTATAACCGGTCTAATTTTAACGGTATTTCTGATGATTACTTTGATTGATATTCCTTTATATCGAAGTCAAATTATTGAGGTTTGTTCTTTTTTGATATTTCGTTCATTTTTATTATTATGGTTTATTACTGAAGATATATATTTCGCTATTTACTATGACATAGATAAATCATTAATAATTTTTATTATCGTTGTACTGAGTTTTATTTAACATCAGTTCTCGTGCAGTTTTGAGGTGCGATTAATTAACAAATAATAATAACAATAATAGTAATAAATAATCATAATAAACAGTGATAATAATAATAATAATAATAATAATAACAATAATAATAATAACAATAACAATGGTGATAAATAATCATCACAAATAGTGATAATAATGATAATTATTATTATTAATAAATAGATAACAATTTCAAGTCCGTAATGGCCGTCCTTTCACCGTCGATGGCCCTTATAACGACGGCCGGGTGCCTGTGGGGAATCGGGGTCCCTTTTTCGAATATTTTAACTGCGGTACCATTCTTAGTGATTACAATTGGAGTGGATGATGCATTTTTAATATTGGCTGCATGGAGACATTCAAAGTGGGTTCTTTACTCGTTATTGTATTCATTATTGTTATTCTATAATGCAATACATTACCAATGTGCGCTTGCGATCGATAGTAAAATAACAATAATACTGCCAACAAAAAATAATAGTAACAACAAATAATATTAAACATATATGATAAATTTCAGCACTTCACTCGAAATTTCCAATCGAACGGGCGAGAGTCTCGCTAAATCAGGAGCATCCATCACTGTAACTTCTTTGACTGATATTCTTTGCTTTGCCGTTGGGATTATATCGGCCATTCCGGTCGTCAGACTGTTTTGTTTATATACAGCGATTGCGTTGACTGTCGACTTCATTTATCAGGTTTATTTATTATTACTATTGGTATTTATTATCACTGTTATTTAAAATTATCATTCATTATTGTTACTTATTAATACTGTTATTCACATGAATATAGTTACTGTTATTTTTATCAGCTTTTCTTATGAATTTGTTGAGTTGGAACGTAAATGCTATCGCTTGCCGTTGAGTGCAGTGAAGGCAGAGCATACGATAATGGAGCCGAATAGAGTTAGGAACCGGAAGACATTTTGCGTAGGCCCCCGACCGCAAGCCCTGTGGGAGACCATCGATTTTCGGGGATCCCGACAGGGAAATTTTGAGCATTGATCGGTTGTCGAACAGTGGTAATCGCATTTGGGTTTGCCCAGGTCCCAACCGAACAAGCCCCCACGGTTGCGGTTGCGGACCCAGAAAATCGATCGATAGTCCCTTATGGCATTTTCGGTGGCCCCCAACCTAACTCTACTATTGACATATTGTTAGCAATACTGTATCAGTCACAAGTCATGCACACCACAAGCCACGTACATGCTTCGCGAGTCAAATTCCAACTGCAGCTCCGGCTCCACATTATTGATATTTGTTCTCCAGCCCCATTTCTATGTTTTTGAAATGTAGGCTCTGGCTTCTGCATTTCATTCCTGAAAATTCGGTTCAGGTTCTGCTTCTCTCAAACGCTCCACTCGAGCTCTAGCAGTTCCGGCTCTGCATTTCCTAAAATTTCGTCTTTGGCTCCAGTTCGGAGATTTGTTCTGCTTCGGTCCAGAGCAATCGAGATCCGCAAATAGACCCCATCTACTGGACGTTGTTATGACACTTTGACTCAGATTTGTTATATTTTCCAACCCGATTAGCTCAGTTGGTGGACAGTTTTCGGGCGCTTCCGTTCGACTGGCGAGGGAGTTTTCTTGACGAATGGATTGATAAATCTGCCCATTCTATTCATTTATTAAATTATAATTTATTAGTGTTGTTTATTATTATCATTCACCATGGTAAATATTTCAGATAACATTCTTCGCATCTTGCGTTGTATTCTGTGCAAAACGTCAAGCAAGAATCGAAGAGGAGATCAGAATGAAGACTAATAACAATATGGTAATTCTTAACTGAAATGTACTTATAATAATATTAATTATAATAGTAATAATAATAATATTATCATTAAACAGCTAAAATTTATACGAGAGAAACTTCCAGGCTGATGAGCCAACAGATGTAATGAATGCCATAATTGCTAAGTTGAACGTGATCAAGAATTATACATTCAAAAACTCTGCGGTCCAGCCTTCACATCAAACGGCATCAAATAATAATTTTTGTATGAATAATGATAATAAAATATTCAATAATAAATATAACAATGGAAAAAAAGATTGGTTATTGGTATTTGTGGACTTCTTACATTATCCGTTCACAAAAGCGTTCATTTTATTGATATTTATGGTTCACATTGGGGTCAGTTTTAATTTGATTTTGTTTTTGAGGTTTGTTGAGAATGAAATTTGCGTTGGGAAAAGAAAATCGATGATTAGACGTGATTTTCAAAAGTAGATGAGCAATAAGTGGGCGTTGCTGAGGAGTGAGCGTGATCAGTCCGGAAATTCTTCACTGGCCTGAAATAATTAATTTTCCGGAATGAGGCAAATATTTTTAGAAATTTACGTAGCAGTTACAGAAACAACATAAACCTCAGCAATCAGCAACGAAAATTAGTGAAAAAAAACATTCGTAAGCGATGCAAAAAATGGAATATATCAACAAGTTCATTTACACATTGAACTGACTTTTGTTCAGGCTCAGACGAGCTAAAGATACTCAGAATGTAGGGGAAAGAAGAGTGTTGCCATGAACGATTCGTGAAAATATATCCAAGAGAAAAGCAGCGCCATAATGTCGTTCCATCATAATAAAACAACTGCACGAAATGCTAATTTCTGGATTCCCATCATAACTCAGTGACGTGCCCAAATTACCCAAAAAATGGGTAACTTCACCGTTATGCTCAAGTACGAGAAATACCGACTAATATTAATCAATAGATGTAAAAGTATAATGGATAATAATACTAACGATGGTAATATATTAACAGTACTTGCAGGCCTCCGCATACCTGAGCACACTCGTCGACGCGAATTTTACAATGGAAAATTTATACCTTGAAGAATCTGAACTGAATTCAATTACTAAACAAATGCAGACGTTCGTTTTAAAGGAGTCTTTCAATGTGAATTTTGCTGTTAATCCATGCCCGAATTTTTCTCACAACTTTATAAGGTAGATTTTCTATATTTCATTGCTGTTGATTATTATTATTATGATTATTATTATTATTATTGTTATTATTATTGTTGCTGTCATTATTGTTTATATTGTTTATTTTTAAGGATAAAATTCAACGAAATGGTTCAGAGATTGGAAAATATCACTCCATTTGGAAGGGGTAAAGTAGGTACTAACCTATGGACAAGAGATTTCCAAACGGTTATTCATCATTATCTGCTGTAATTATATTATTAAAAAAGTTGTCACTTTCTACTTTTTAAATTATTATTTCTATTGAAATTGTGTTTTCTAGATTATATCGTTCTGGGATGGAGATGAGAGCGATTTGTGGAAGGAAGAGGTGCTGTTGAAAAATTATAGGGAGCTGAGTTTGGACGAAAAATACATAAATATTGGGTATTATTTATTATTGTTATGATTAATTATTATTGCTCTTAACTGGTTACAATCAGTACTAATTACTACTAATTTAATGATCGCTTTTGTGCAGGGAGAGGTCGGATGGATTGAAAATAATATCTCGATTCTTTTGGTCGATCA